CAGGTCATTAAAAAGACAGAAAAGAAAGAAAAGACCAAAATGGATGTCAGAAGAGACTGTGAAACTTGCTTTTGAATGTAGAACAGCTAAAGCAAATGGAAGAAATGATGAAATAAAAGAGCAGAACAGAAGATTTCAAAGGGTGACTCAGGAAGACAAAGTAAAGTATTATAATGAAATGTGCAAAGACCTGGAGTTAGAAAACCAAAAGAGAAGAACATGCTGGACATTTCTCAAGATGAAAGAACTAAGAAAAAAATTCAAGCCTCGAGTTGCAATATTAAAGGATTCAATGGGGGAAAATACTGAATGACGCAGGAAGCATCAAAAAAAGATGGAAAGAATACACAGGGTCACTGTACCAAAAAGAATTGGTCGATGTTCAACCATTTCAGGAGGTAACATGTAATCAAGAACCGATGGTATTGCACTGAAGGAATTGCACTGAAGGCATTGGCGAGGAACAGGGCTCAAGGAATTGACAGAATACTGATTGAGAAATTAGAAAGACAACTACCTGGCCAATTGACTGAAAGAGATCCATATTTGTGCCCATTCCACAGAAAGTTGATCCCACAGAATGCGAACAATATCATTAATGTCACACACAAGTAAAATTTGGTGAAGATAATTAAAAAACAGTTGGAGCAGTACGTCAACCAGGAACTGCCAGAAATTCAAACTGGATTCAGAAGACGACATGCAATGAGGGATATTATTGCTGGTGTCAGATGGAACTTGACTGAAAGCAGAGAATACCAGAAAGATGTTTACTATTTTTTATTGACTATGCAAAGGCAGTCAGCTGTGTGAATCATAACAAATTATGGATAACATTGCGAAGAATGGGAATTCTGGAATACTTCATTGTGCTCATGAGGAACCTGTACATAGACCAAGAGGCAGTCATTTGAACAGAACGACGGGATGCTGCATGGACTAAAATCAGGAAAGGTGTGCATCAGGGTTGTATCCTTTCACCATATTTATTCAATCTGTATGCCAAGCAAATAATTGGAGAGCTGGACCATATGAAGAACGAGGCACCAGGATTGGAGGAAGAGTCATTAACAACCTGTGATATGCAGCTGACACAACCTTGCTTGCCAAAGCGAAGAGGACTCAAACAATGACTAATGAAGATCAGAGACTACAGCCTTTGGTATGGATTATACCTCAACATAAAGAAAAGAAAAATCCTCACAATTGGACCAATAAGCAACATCATGATAAATGGAGAAAAGATGGATGTTGTCAAGGATTTAATTTTACTTGGATCCACAGTCAACATCCATGGAAGCAGCAGTCGAGAAATCAAACGACATATTCCATTGGACAAATCTTCAAAAAACCTCTTTAAAGTGTTAAAAAGCAAAGATGTCACTTTGGGGACTAAGGTGCACCTGACCCAAAAACCCATTGCCGTTGAGTCAATTCCGACTCATAGCTACCCTGTAGGACAGAATAGAAATGCCCCCGTAGGGTTTCCAAGGCTGTAAATCTTTACGGAAACAGACTACCACATCTTTCTCCTGCAAAGCGGCTGGTGAGTTCTAACTGTTGACCTTTCGGTTAGCAGCCCAGCACTTAACTACTGCACCACGAGAGCTCCTTAAGGTGTGCCTGACCCAAGTCATGGTATTTTCAATCGCCTCATAGGCATGTGAAAACTGGACCATGAATAAGGAAGATCAAAGAAGAATTGATGCCTTTGAATTATGGTGTTGGCAAAGAATATTGAATATACCATGGACTGCCAGAAGAACAAACAAATCTGCCTTGGAAGTAGCACAGCCTTCTTTAGAAGCAAGGATGGCAAGACTTCATCTCATGTACTTTGGATGTGTTCTCAGGAGGGACCAGTCCCTGGAGAAGGACATCATGCTTGGTAAAGTGGAGGGTTAGTGAAAAAGAGAAAGACCGTCAATGAGATGGATTGACACAATGGCTGCAACCATGGGCTCAAACATAGCAACAATTGTGAGGATGGCGCAGGACCGGACAGTGTTTTTGTTCTGTTGTACATAGGGTCACCGTGAGCTGGAACTGACTTGATGGTACCTAACAAGAGCAACAAAGCCTCCTAAACTGTGAGAAAATAAATTTAAGTTTGTTAAAGCTATCCACTTAGGGTATTTCTGTTCTGGCAGCACTAGATAACAGACAGTCTCAATAAATAGTATTAAAGCAAAAAAAAAAAAAAAAAAAAAAAAAAACATCAGCAGCTTTCTCTCCATGGGAGTAATTGTA